GATGTCCAGGCTGGTCTACAGAGGTGATAAGGTCTTTAGTTGTCCTGAAGTCCAGGGTGGTCTACAGAGATGATAAGGTCTTTAGTTGTCCTGATGTCCAGGCTGGTCTACAGAGGTGATAAGGTCTTTAGTTGTCCTGATGTCCAGGGTGGTCTACAGAGGTGATAAGGTCTTTAGTTGTCCTGATGTCCAGGCTGGTCTACAGAGGTGATAAGGTCTTTAGTTGTCCTGATGTCCAGGCTGGTCTACAGAAGTGATCAGCTTGTATCTATAAACAGATTTTCTCGCTCATATATTTTTTCCTTATTCAGTTGCAGAAAGAGCTGAACGCCAGGAGGGGTGACGATGTCAGAGACCCGGCCCACAGAGGGGTCTTCTCACCCCAGGATGGTCCATGTAACGCGCCTCACCCCCTGTCTATGTCCAACCCTGCACCCCACACTCGCTCCCACTCAGACTCTGAGGCCTTGTTGGAGGATCAGGGGGCTACAGCAAGGCTGAAAGGTCCGACAGAGAACTTGTTCCTGGACGCCCTGTCTCTGGACCCCCTCGGGGGTCTGGAGGTCTCACCACCCTCTAAACTAGACAGTGAGAAGAGGTTCCCCTGCATGACGGAGGTAAGACCCAGACCAGCGAGGGTTTTGCATTTAAACCCCATTTTATCTTGATATCTTTAAAACTGGCTGTTTTAACCGTTTTTTTGTGTTTTCTAAGGTCATCTGTGGCGGCCATCTTGAATCAGGTGTGTTTTCTGTGTTTCAGGCTCTGAATGAGATCTCCGAGAGTGAAGGCACTCCTGTTTACCCAGAGGAGGAGATGAGGGAAGCTGGGAGTCTCCTCAGGTAACCTTTAAAGTCCAACCGAGTTCAGAAAAGCTCACATCTTTTTTTAATAGATGTCTGTAATGAATTGGTCGCAGAGAACCGGCCCAACTTGCTGCAGATTATCCAGACCCTCGCCTCATTTTAGCTCGTCACACATTGGTCTCCTGAGGCATCGAGCGTCGACTCCATTAACTTTTACTTGAAGTGACACAGAGTGTGTTCCTGCTCACTTCTCTTTTATGGATGGAAACAGAGCTGGATCGCTGTGCTGTTAAATAATTCAGACAGTTTTAAAACGTTGTGATGCTGCAGAAAAATACAGGCTAGTTTAGGGTTTTTCTGCTGTGGGGATATAAAAAAAACATTGTGATGTTTGTTTCCTGCTGGATTTAATGATACTCATTGCAAAGTCAGGAAGACTGGAAAAAAAAAAAAATAAATCCACAAGATGTTTCCTTCACATTGATGAATTACGTGTCCTTAAATTTAAATTTGTGATCAGATGTCCACCACTAACTGCGATTGTTTACCTACAGATGTAACTAAAAGTAGGTCGACTAACTGGACTTTGAATGTCGAGCTCATTCTTTATTCTTGAGTTTTCTCACTCGTTCTTTCTTCTGTTAATGTTAAGCAGCAGATTCACTTTTGTCTGTGACCCTCCCAAACCCCCCCCCCCCCCCATGTAAAATGTGTCAAACTGTGCTGCAACGCAAAATATGTGAAATAATTGATGCATGTCTAAAAATGATTCCACGAAGACGGCATCTAGCAATCCCAGTAACAAAAATAGCATATAACCTTAGGCCTGTCAAGATAACAAATGTTGCTGGGCGATTAATTGTCTCAGAAATTATTGCGATAAACGATAATATTGTTTGAAATTTTTCAATAATTAGGGATTATTGTCAAATTTAAGAAGAAATTGTTAATTTTTGTGTGTAGTACCTTTTTTGACCACTGGATAAAAGTATAAGACCGATTGAACCAAAGGATGTATAGGGAGGGAGCGAGCAGCGTGTCTCTTTAAGAAAAATGGGAGGGAGGCCCCTTGACGTGACATGGGCTGTCTCTCGTTCCTTTTTTTCGGTTCTCAAAATGTTTGACGCTCGGTGTGGTTTAAGCTCTTTAGCATAGCATTTTTCCACATGAAGCTTTTAATAATAAAAAAATCAGTAAACAAGTTCTCAGCTTCTTTTTGCAGAGAAAAACAACTTTTTACACAAAGGTACAAGTTTCAACTGTGAATTTTGGAGCTTTGACAAGATGGAGGTTTTTTCCCCGAGCTGTTAGCTTAGCTTATAGTTTAGCTTCTAAGCTTAGCTGCTTTTAACAATCCAAAAACACAATTTTGGATTGTTAAAATGGATTTTAAAGAGGAAAGAGAAAGGGGGGGTCAGTGAAGAGCACCGGAGTTGAGTCTTTTGTCATCCAGTGTCTTCAGTAGAAAGAGAGACACGAAGAAACGATAAAGCTGATAAATGAAAAAGGTTGATAATTTTCATTTATCATGTGATTAATTGATTTATTGTTTATCCCGACAGTCCTATATAACTTTCCTAATTTACATTTAAATTATTTTTTACAGGTATATCTTCAGAAATAATCTCTTGAAATTGATCATTTTTAACTGTTGGTTACCTTAGCGTCTGGAAATCCCTTCGTATAATATTTTGAGTCATTGTGAAGCTCAGAGATTTACCTTTTTAAATACACACCTCACTCCAAAACAGTAAAAGTCTAGTTTTCTTGTAAACAAAACTGGCTTGTTGCCAGGTGACAAATGTCCAAATTTCAACTCTCTTTTGGATCATGCTTAAGTTTTTCAGATGGAGAATTTGAAAATTTTACATCGATATTAAAGAAACTGTTGATTTTTGGTTGATTCAGCTCCGTTCTATCTGAGGGTGGAACCACATTTCAGAACGTATTTGGAAAATTACAGGAGTGAACTCTTTTAACTTGCACCATTTGAAGAAAGTTCAGGAAACCTCGTTTTATCTTTGATTTTTTTTTTTTTTACCTCTAATGATCCGTCTGTTTTACGTTCAGAGCCAAGTCCATTTGCTCCATGAGCGACTTCCAGCGCCTGATGGACAGCTCGCCGTTCCTCCCCGACAAGACGCGCCTCGGCGATCACGGCCGGGACGACATCACCCCGCCTCTGTCTCCGGACGACCTCAAGTACATCGAGGAGTTCAACAACGAGGGCTGGGACTTCCCACCGTCCGCCTCTGGACCTCGTCCGCTCCGGGAAGGGGAACCCAGCCCTGATCCGTTCCAGCCCACTTCTTGGTTCCTCACCACCAGCGCCACCCTGACCACCAGCACCTTGAGCAGCCCCGAGCCATGTCACAAGTCCCCGCTCGGAGGGAACGGGGCAGGGGGAGGGGCGGAGCACTTTGGTGTCCACATCCTCCACAGTCCCACAAGAGCTGGGACGGCGGAGCGCCCCTCTGCTCCAGATCCGGACTTGTTGTACTCCAAGGGGATCAAAGCAAAATCTGGAGGGGAGGATGGGATGGGGCCGAGTGGATCTGATGAGGTGTTCAGCGGCACGAGGTGGCCCTGCCTCCTGGAGGGTGGGGGACTCATGGCTTCTCCAAACCAGTCTCCCATCTGCTCCACGGTGGGCTACGCATCCTCTCTGGAGCTCCAGCTCCAAAGGAACATGAGCGACGACATGAAGGAGGTGGCCATCTCTGTAAGGAACGCCATCCGCTCGCCATCGGGCCCAGCGGTCCGCGACACCGCCTGCCAGACCAACGGATTCACCACCCGAGGCACCCAGACCACCCAGACTATCAGCGTGGGTCTGCAGACGGACCTGCTGCGGAACCTGACCAGCAGCCCCCACCGCTGCCTCACCCCAAAAGGTGGCAACACGCCCATTTCGTCCCCGTCCCGCAGCTCGAGGAAGGTCCAGTACTCTCCGGTGGTCCAGAACAAGTTCGAGCGTCCCTGCTGCTCACCAAAGTACGGCTCCCCGAAGCTGCAGCGCAAGCCGTCCACGACCAACAAACCCGAGGTCCCCAACAACAGCCGTGCCCCCACCCCCACCACGCCTCAGAAGGGCAACAGCGAGTCAGCCTGGGCCCGCTCCACCACCACCCGGGACAGCCCCGTCCACACCACCATCAACGACGGCCTCTCCAGCCTCTTCAACATCATCGACCACACGTCGGTGGTCTACGACAAGTTCAACAAGTCCCCCAGCCGCTCCCGCCCCACGCCGCCAGCCACCACCGAGCCCAGCCCCGCTCATCACGGGGGCTTCGCCACGGACTCCAGGGTCACGCAGGACGGCCCGCGAGCCGCTCGGGGGCGCTCGCCCAGCCCCGTGCAGCTGATAGTCGAGACTCAGGGGGACAAGAACCTCGAGGTGGTGAGCATCCGTCAGGATCTGTCCGCCCCTCCGGGCTACACGCTGGCTGAAAACGCAGCCCGCTTCCTGAACAAGAAGCTGCAGGAGCAGAACTTCAGGGAGGAGCGCCGGCTGCAGGCAGGAGGACAGAACGTGCACAGCAGAGACGGCGGCAGGCCGACCGACCCGGACAGAGGACAGGCTGGATGCATGGAGGTAAATATACCGACGTCCTGGATTCATCGCTTCATCACTCCGTTGATCTGGGGCCCGTGTTTTATGACACCATGAGGTTTCTCACATGACCCTGGATTTTATTCTAACGCCTAAAGACAAATTTTAAAACATCTGTTTATTAGAACATTCTTTAAAATGTCTTTTTTTTTTCTCAGATGGAAAGCTCTGACTGATCAGACGGTAAAGTTAAAATATTTAACCCTCTGAAGCGCTGAGCTTCGTTCTACCGCTGCACGAAGACACGCTCTTCTTTTTCTGTATCTTTCTGCTAATCTCTGATCTCCGAGCTCCAGCTTTAACTGAAGCTCGGCTGTAATCTGTGTTAGACGTTTGTCCGACAGGAGGTGGGAAAATAATCCGAAGGGTTGCAGAATTGATCAAACATTCAACAAGAATTTTCTTTTTTCTTTTAAGTTCCGACAGAAAATAATACATTTTGCTGAATAAAATCAGCAGTTTGATGTCAGTTTGACCCATTTATCTGGACTTTAAATTATAGAAATAAATGGAAAGACTGTAATCAATAATTTCCTTCATGATTTTTTCCCCGTTGTGGAGCAAAAATGGGAACAAAAGGGGCGTTCATGAATGTTGTGAGCGTGATAACTTGAAAAATAAGTGAGACACCAACTACCAAAATGTTCATTTTGAAAATTGGGTTGCCATGTCAAAATCCAAGATGGCCACCACCATATTGCTTTAAAATATAATTTCTTCAAATGAGTGGGGTGGCCAAAGATTAATCTTTGGTGGCCAAGGCCACCATTGGCCACCCACTGGCTCCGTCACTGCCTCTGGTGGTGGATACAAACTTTTCCTTCGCTCTCCAAGATCCGTCACTCTGCGTCGCCTCGGACAAGAAAAAAAAACTGCCTCTGTTCTTCAGCATACAGTAGTTTAACTCCTGCCCACTTGCAATAAAAACATTAAGGTTTACGTGCATTCCCTCTTCCATTCTAGTCCATAAAAACACTCGTCTCCTAAACTACAAACATTCTCTATTCAAATCCTTCGGTGACGGCGGACATCGGCGCACCACTTGTGAAGTTCACAGATACGTTTTCAACTCATCGTTCAATGTTAAAGTTTATTATTTATCCCATAAAAATCCATTGATAGAAGGTATTTATTAAAAAAATTGCCACTTAGTGATTTTATTTTTGTTTTGTTTGTTTTTCTTTATGAGCTCGAGTGTTCAATAAGATTTTTTTTAGATTATTGCAAATCAATTCTCTCACCTTTTAAGGACAAATACGTAATAAAACTTGAAGGGATGCATATCGCTTGTCGTCCTACATGCCAAAGTTTGAACAAAGACGACGTACGATCGTTTATCACTATGATGAGGATGACTCTCTGCTACTACCACGCCATATCTGACCGTGACTTCAGTAAAAATGGACAAAGTTGTAGCTGTTTCTGTGATGCTTAGACAACAGTTATTAATCAGGTTGATCCGTTGTAGATGTAAATCCAATTATTCCTTTCTGAGAGTTCCCATTCAAATCTGTCCAGTGGTTATTGTTGAAATATTTTGCTAACAGACAAACAATGGCATGACATTATCGTGCAAGATTTTTTTTGAGGGGGTCAAGATCTGGCATCAATAAAGAACACAGCCTAGCTAAAACTAAGATGTGAAGAAAAGCGTGTTTACTGGTAGTTTTGAATAAATAAGTTTATTATTATTAATAATAATAATAATAATTCATTTCAAATAAATTAATTAGAATTCTTTAAATAAATGTCTTTGTGGCTGAGATACGCTAAATATTTTCTGCACTAAACCGTGGGATATTTTACTTAAAATAACCTTTTTTTTTTTTTCAAATCTGTAAAATTTGTACGAAACATAAATAAAAACGGAAACATACAAATTGAATGATAGAAACATTTATGAGATTTATAGGAGTACTTTTTTGTAGCATAACTATATCTCAGATTAAATATTTAATCCAATAGATCCGGGCTATTCAACTAAACTGCTCAGGGGGTCACAGTTACTGAAAGCCAAGAGCTCAGGGGCCGGACATCCAGCAGTTATTGTCATTAAATATTTTTTTTTTTATGATTTAAAATCTAGTTTTATTTCAAATGAGCCCATTGGTGGGCCCAACTGAGCTCACCCATGGGCCTAATTTGGCCCCCGGGCCACCAGTTGAATAACCCTGGTTATTTTCATCCCTTTCATAAAAAATAACAAAACTAGACTTTATGAAAAGTAAAAAACAAACAAACATGAATTACTTGACAAATGACCGTTGTGTTGACGTGAACAGCTCCTCGTGTGTCCCCCCCCTCAGCTTCAGCGGTTGTTTCTGTGCTCTCCAGGCTGAAAGAACCTTCTTCTGTCAGAGTTTTCCTTTTGCTCAGTTTTACAAATTAACATTTCCCGCTCTGTATCTTTCCTCCTCCTCTGGGCTCGATCCGTCCCTCCTCCTTCCTGTCCGCTGTGATCCGATCCAGAACCACACTGTCATACTAACAACACCTTGGGGGCTCTAATTCTGCTTGTCTCCGTGATGTAAGTTCCTCTTCCTCCTCTTCCTTCATGGCCGCCGGCGGTGGGTTCACCAGGCTCACGGATCGTTCACCTCACGCCCCTGCAGACCTCCTCCACCCCTCCCCTCCTCTTCATTAACGCATGCTTCACAGGTCAGCGGGGGGTGTGAAGCCTTCGGCGTGGTGCCAGAAGTTGCATCGACTCCTTCGTGTTGGTTTGTGCATGCTCGGTGTTTTAAACGTAACATCTGTTTATTTCCCGAGGACCATACTGGTGGTTTTGCATGCTGTCCATTTAACATCAGTCACATCTACTTCCTGTAACACAACGCCACATGTTTTTTTTTGTTTTTATTATTAAATTTTACATAAATTAATATGAAACTCAGAGATGGACAACACTCGAACAGTGCAAATTTGTAAATTTTTACAAATCTAAACTCAACGGCACGTGTGACGTCATCACGTTGTGCCGCTGCTGCAGGCATCCTTGTCATTGGGTCGTCGTACAAAAACAGCGTCTTTTATATCGGTGAGTTATTTTGATGGAATGGCCGATGTCTAATATTTAACTTTATCGCTAATATTAGACGATACCGATACCATGCCGATAATATCGTGTATCCCTAATAATTACTGAGAGAAAACGTTAACATTGTTCAATAAAAGCCAAGATAGTGTACTTGTAGTATTGTCATGCTCAGGATGTCCTCACATTTTGACTCGGAGCCAGTGTTGGATTTATTTTTGCCCTGTAGTCAGGCACGGGATGGTAATTTTCAAAGTTATTAGAAAATTCAACATATTTGTCTGGATGAAGATGTTTTTGTTTTTCAGAGTTGATGGAAAAAGATCAGTTAAAAAGAAAATCTGGATAAGTGTAGTCCAGGCCTAAATAGTTTCCGCTAAATTTATATTCCATCATAAAAAAATAATTTAGCCAAAGAAAATAAACAAACTGATGTTTGACAACTTCAACGTAAACTCCTAACATTAAGCATATATAGATCTTCACATAAGTTGTAACAAGTGATGATGTCTTCTACAACATGACCGTGGGAGTTGTAGACCTTTAGACGGTTTGGATAGTCTTTCATTTCTGCTTATTTTTTAACAACAGGATGGATTTTCTCTCATGATTACATGTGAAATGGTTTTGTACAAATTTTCCATATGTTTAATTAAAAAAAAAAACCATAATTTAAAAAAAAGGACGGATCCCACCTGCAAGAATCCAAGAAGAGGAAGAAGAAGATGACGTCATCGTATGCGACAGATGCACATCGGTGACTACAAAACTGAATCTGTCAAAAGGTTTTTGTACTTTAAAACACAAAAAAACAAAAGTGAAACGGTTAAAACGTGTCTAAATTCGCTGTGGCACAGTCTTGCTACCATTAACTCGTAAAACTACCATCAGCAACTTTGTAAGCTAACAGTTTTTGTGTGTGTGTGTTTTATAGTATAAAAACATTTTGACAGATTCAGGCTTGTACTCATCGATGTGCATCTGTCGCATACGATGACGTCAGCGTTTTCTTGGATTTTTGCAGGTGGGATCCGTCCTTCTTCTTTTAATTTTTTTTTTATTAAACAAATTGAAAATTTGTACAAAACTAGGCCTATAACAATAAATCAATTAATCGCATGATAAATGAAAATTATCAACCTCGTTTTCATTTATCTGCTTTATCGTTTCTTCGTGTCTCTCTCTTTCTACTGAAGACACTGGACGACAAAAGGCTCAAGTCCGGCGCTCTTCACTGACTCCTCCCTTTCTCTTTTCTCGTTAAAATCTGTTTTAACCGTCCAAAATCGCGTTTTTGGATCGTTAAAAGCAGCTAAGCTACGAGCTAAGCTAACAGGCCGACCTCGGGGTAAAAACCTCCGTCTTGTCGAAGCTCCAAAAATTCACGGTTGAAACCCGTGCCTTCGTGTAAAAAGTTGTTTTTCTCTGCAAAAAGAAGCTGAGAACTTGTTTACTGATTTTTTTATTAAAAGCTTTGTGTGGAAAATGCTACGCTAAAGAGCTCAAACCAAACCGAGCGTCCGCCATTTTCAGAACCAAAGAGAGACAGCCCATGTCACGTCAAGGGGCCTCCCTCCCATTTTTCTTAAAGAGACACGCTGCTCGCTCCCTTACTATCCATCCTTCGCTTCAAACTGTCTTATACTGCCATCCAGTGGTCAAAAAAAGGTCCTACACTCAAAACAAATTTAACCAACATTTCTTCTTAAATTTGACAATAATTACTAATTATTGTCAAATTTCAAACAATATTATCGTTTAGAGCAATAATTTCTGAGACAGTTAATCGCCAAACAAAATTTGTTATCGTGACAGGCTTATACAAAACCATTCCGCATGTAATCATGAGAGAAAATCCATCCTGTTGTTAAAAAATAAGCAGAAATGAAAGACTATCCAAACCAGAAGAGGGAAGGAGAGAAGGAGGCCATCTTTGTGAAGAGAAACTGTCCATCATTAAACGGGCGGAGGCCTCCTAGCATCACTCAGCCCGCTGTGAATAGCAAGCGGCCATCATGGCACTAACGATCGGTCGTTAGGCTGATGGTCCTTTTTCATGTGAACAGCTGGTTCTGGATATCTGACTGGTTGATCCACTATGAGAAGGTGCTGTTTCTAAAACTGCAGCTCCTCAGCCTCATGAAGTCTTTTGGATTAAAGACGAAACATTTCAACTAGTTTTTTTAATTTTTTAATTTTATGAATCCATCCAGAGGACCTGACTTAACTTTGTTAGATTATTTTCTAACTGGATTATTGAGCATGCATCAGGGCATCTAAGGAAGGTTTAGTCTCCCTCTACCTGCTTAAATAATATATATATATTTTAATTGGTTATGTTGATAATTGTGTACAAATATGTACAAAACATTCAGTGACAACTCATGCAAAGCCACTGGTGTGATCCTTATTTTACATCTTTGCAGGTCGGTTGTTTAAGTTACACACAAATTATTCTAACTCTGCATTTCCACCAGGTCGTCCTCTTGTCTCGCCATGTTTGTGATGTTTTTATTTTTATTTTTTTTAGATGTTCATACAGGATTTATTTTTTCTTACAGTTGGCCGCCATCAATTCTTTAGACACTAATAAATCACACAAAATATTAACAGATGAAGGTCGATCATTTCCTCCTGTTCACGTTTGTAATTTGTGACTTCTGGTTGAAGTGACCGAATATTCTGTTACGTTTCTCTCACTTAAAGAAACAAAATCCACCTTCAGATGTACTTAAATCAGTTTATTGTCAACGTGTTGGAAATCAGAAGGTAAAAAATGATAGAACCGTAAAAAATGAGCCAGTATCGATCAGGCTATTGATCATCGGCCTGAGAAATATTTAAGTTCGACTCGGTGGTGATTCCTCTAGAGCAGGGGTGTCCAAACGTTTTCACATGTGGGACAAAACCTTGACGATGAAAGGAGTCGCAAGCCAAAAACAACAACAACAAAAAGAATTTAATAAATATTAACAAGCATACGTATTTTTAGTTTTTTTTTTTTTTTTTACTCTGTCTAAACAATATTTTGAAAAAAGGACAAAATGTACAAATTTTGTTGGAGAATGTGTTTTAATTTATTGTAGATCCAACACATTAAAAGCTTCATAAACACTAACATGTTATTACTTTTTAATTAATTTATTTGATTTATTGCCAAAAGACTGTATTAAACTTAATATTGTTCATTTTGAGATTTTTTTTAATCAATTTTGCTGTTAAATCTAAAAATTATATAAAAAAAATGTTCATTAAATTTGAAAAGGCATACATCAATCTCTTAAGCCTATGAGTCAAAATTATACCATCCTTAATCTGCAGTTGTGGTGCGCACATAATCACTCCAAGGGCCACGAGTGGCCCCCGGGCCGCTCTTTGGACACCCGTGCTCTAAAGAAACTCAGAAAAAAGACTTAAATCAGCTCATTTACAACCTAAGCATTGAGCATTTAATGACGAATCTTAGTGATTATTCTTTGTCCATTTGGTGATTTTTTTTTTTAATGGATTAAAACGGTGATTGTTGTTTTCTTTAAATAAAAGCGCAAGTGTTTGAAAGTGGATTTTCTCTTTAAAGTTTGTCTCTCTTGGTTCTGTAGCCACTCTTGATCTGTCATTCCTGATGCATGACCTGTGGTCTGATGGATTTGTTGTAAAAACTCACGACTCCTCCGTGAAAACAAGATGTTTGTTTGTTTGTTTGTTGTGTTTAAAATCCATCAGCCTGTTACGTTTGCAGACATTTAGCATCTTTGTCTTGTCTCGGACTCCCTGCAGGTTTTATCACCGTTTGTCCGAATTATCTGAGCTCCAGTTCGTCCCTCTCGTTAACCGGACCCGACCGCTGAGGGTTTCAGCAGAACTGAATGTCACGTCTCTGTCTTGACGTCGTCCCATCCTTCAGCTTCAAACAAAATGAACTGTTTAAAATCCAGAGCAGTGGGTGGAGCTTTGACTCCCCCCAAATCACTCCCAACATTTATATTCTCCTCTTCGTCCCAAGTTTTCACTTCTTTGACAAACCTTAACCATTTCGACCCTTTATGCACTTAGTTTGGCCACTTGATGTGAGGAAAGTCCATTTTTAATGGCGTAATGCACGGCTGTCCAAAGTGTGGCCCGAGGGCCATTTACGGCCCTTGGAGTGATTTTGTGCGGCCCACAACTGCAGTTTAAGAATGGCGTCATTTTATCCAGCAGGCTTAAGAGGTCCATGCAGACTTTCTGCAGATTCATTGGTAATTCTTTTTTATATAATGTTTAGGTTTAACAGCAAAACTGATTAAAAAAAAAAATCAAAATGAGCAATATTAAAGAAAACACAAACTTTTGTCTATAATCTTTTTATCTTCACTTCATGGCACAAAGCACCACAAACCTTTTCTGATTTCTACCAGAAAGGAGACTTTGGATAATGATTCATCAAACTTGGCTAAATATTGCAGTTGATAAAATAATCAAGAGGGAAATTGGACATTTTTAAATTAATATAACGTGGTATCATCTACATACGAGTTGATCATCTTTATCAAACCTATGAATCTGTTGTAGCGACTGACAGCTGGACGATTCGTCCCATCAGCCTTTTGGGCTGTTCATGGTCCAAAAGTATGGAGACAAGTTGGGGCCGTAAAGTTTGTGCAAGAGAAAAATAAATTTGAAACTGGAAAAAAAAAAAATAACTGTGAAACTGAAGCATGTTATCTTTCAAAACCAGTCACATCAATATAGAATATCGATGAGGTTTTACAGACAATTTCTGTTCCCGCGGTTCCTGAATGCAACAGCTGGGAATAACCTGCACTGAGCCGTCAGTCAGGATTCCACGCCCCCGTCATCTGAGGCCACGCCCCCACGCCAAAACAGGGCCAAAAATTTGAAAATGAAAAAAAAAAGATCTGAAAATGATCAACTTGAATCTGAAAAGTAGCTTTGAACTTTTTTTTTTTCAGTTTCAAAATGTTTTTTTTTTTTTTATTAAAAAAAAAATCTAATCCAAAATTATTTTTCAATTTCAATTTTTTTTTTTCAGTTTCAAATTTATTTTTTCTTTTGAACAAACTTTATGGCCCCAGTTTAGCTCCATACCCAGGAGTCCTTTCATCCGGATAGTTCTGGTCCACATATGTTCAGGCATGAAAAGTCCATGTTTGAAACTGATGTGAAACTATTTAATTTATGTTTAAAAGCCCAAAGAAATGAGTTGACTTCACCACCAGCATTCTGTAAATTTAATAAAGGAAAGATGCAACACAGAAATCAGAGAAACTAAGATGTCTTATGACCCTTAAATTACTTAAAGTAACTGCTTAATTATCATTAGCAGCAACTTTTTGATCCATTTAGGTTAAAAACAAGCCTGAATTTATTTGTGGTGTTTCCGTGACGATTACAGTTTCAAGATGGCCGCTTTACATAAAACAGGCTGATAAATAAAAACACACACAGCTGAATACATTTAAAGGAAAACACAAATACTGAGAGACGTAAAAAGACCAAACTGAAGTCGATTGTAGACGGAGGTAAAGTGAGACGTTTTACAAGAAAGCACGGTGGAGGTTGTATCATGATATTACTTTCCTGCTGCTACTGGTGCTGGATTCATTTATTCTAACAAAAATAAATAAATAAATCTGAATATGTTTAGAGATAAACGAGCTTACGTTTAAAAAAAAGATGAGGACACTGACCTGCATCACATTTAAGAGCGATGAGTTTTTATCTCGGTTTAATTTAAATCATCGGCGAACGTGTCGTTGCCAAACAGAAAACAAAATTATTTAGAATATGTATTTTTTTAAGTTTTAATTTAATTTATTTATTTACAAGTGAAAATCAATCAAAAACTTATTTAAGTTGTCGTTTCTGAGTAAAATGTTTAAAATTATGAATAATCATGTCGGGAACATCTGCCCTCTTCGACACCCGGTGTTCCTCGTTCACGTCGTCGTGTTTCTCAGTTTGAAGTTTCACTTCCTGTTTTCTTCCTCGGCGATCAGCTGCTCCTCTTCCTCTCTGACAGCTCCTTGTCGTTGGCAGGACCTGCCTCGGTCTCCAGTGGCTCCCCCCCTGGACTCCTGCTTCCTGAGACCGGCCCGCCCGGCCAACCGACGACCCCCCTCCCGCTGGGCCGTCCGCTCCCCCTCCTCCTCCCCCAAGTGGAGCGAGGGCACCAAAAGGAGGTTCACCTTCCCGCCGCCGGCACACCGGAAGCCCATCCTGGAGGGCGAGGAACCGGCGTGAGGCTGCCCCTCCTCCAGCTCAGCCTAAATGTACCTCAGACCCCCCCCCCAGAACTAGACGCTCCCACAAGATGGAGCCTAAACGGGGGAGGGTTGGATCCACTATGTAGCACCAGCTGAACATCGAGGAACCAGAACTTCCTTTTTGAAGAATCTGGAACCAAATCGTTACATTCAAGATGTAAAAATCCACGAGAGGTGCCTGAACGCCTCGTCTGTGTGCATAAAGGTATTTATTACGACCCCAGTTCAGGACACAACAAGTGTAAAGTTTAAATAAAATAAGGATGCAGTGATTTTCTAATCCCATGAATCCATATTTCTTGTCACAACAGAACAGGAAGCCGTTCTGGATTTAGTGTCAGATAAGTTGTTGTGTTCACCAACGGTCTGCAAACATCCAGGAACCGGGGAGGCCAGCTGGAGTTCTTGGAGGGAACGTTGTCCCGTTCGTGTCTGATGGAGGATTCTAGCTGGTCTTTTGTTTCCACGATGTTCCAGATGTTTTAGTTCAGGCAGACCAGCTCAGCACCTGGACCGTGAAGCCCTTGTTGTTGTGATGGACGTTCAGCGTTTTGCTGAAGTAAGCAACGTCTTCCCTGGAAAATAAGTCATCAGGAAATGTTCTAAATTCTCTTTATACGTTTCTGAATCTAAGGTGCCTTTCCAGACGCGTAAGCTTCTCATGCCAGAGGCACTAATGCACCCCCATACCATCAGAGAGGCAGGCTTTTGAACGGTGTACTGGATAAAATAATAAAAATATATATTTTAACCACTTCTCATTTACAAACTTGTAAGAAATATAAAAAGCAAATTATATCTACTGTTATAGGCGCAAATATAAATTTATGCCTTTAAAAAACACGTCCTCTTTCTCCCCATCAGCTGCTCACTGGTCCGTTGTTTCCTGTTTAAGGCGACACAGATTTCCAGGAGGCTGCCTGAGGACTGAAGTGGAGAAGCTAGCATGAATGAATAGCATCCAGTAAGCGCTCCTCGCTGGTATAGTGGGACATAACAGCCTATCCCGCAGGAGTTCGATTCCTCAACAGGGATTTTTTGTTTGTAGGAATGCACGATATTATCGGCATAGTATCGGCTGATATTAGCGTTAAAATAACTCACTAATATATAATATCCAAGTATATCCAATTATACATAATCAAGTTGAAGGGTTTTATAATTTTCAGCCCCTTTTTGGCATCTGCATTTGGTAGCAGGACAAACTGACAGAGACCATGCAGAATAATCTAGTGTTTTCATTCTACAGCAGAGAAAGTTGTGTAGTCTCTGTAAGTAGGTTTAGGGGAAAATATCGGTATTGGTATCGGTTTTCAGCCAAATAAGTTTTAACATATCGAATATCAGCCAAAAATCCAAATATCGTGCATCCCTGATTATTGTTTAATTTCTGTACCCCCGAGCAGTTGCTGTTAATAAATCTCCATTTATTGTCCCTCTCAATAATGAAACATTATCTCAGTCCTTTGTTCGTGGAGGACTAGCATAACATTCATTTAAACAGTTCTTCACAGACTGGTAAACCTCTGCCCATCTTTACGTCTGAGAGCACTTTGAAAGTGCTCTCTGTAAACCCGGTCCTCTAATTAACTGCAGAATGCTCCTCCACCTGTTTCCTATCGCTTCATTTCGCAACCTTTTGTTGCCCCCGCTCTCCTAAATTTAAAATTACCGTATTTTTCGCCATGTAAGTCACACCTTTCTGCGTAAATTCACAAGTCCTGCAGCTTGTACACCGAAGCGACTAATATACTTTTGTTTCTCATATTTATAACAAAATTCTGGCTGAGATTTGATGATTTCATTTATTCTGACATGAAAAATAATAAAGCATTAACATTTGCAGCCGCTAGAGGGCCCTCGAGAATTATTGCAAGCCAAGTGTTTCATTAATAGGTAAAAGTGGCTATTAATGAGACACTTGGCTTGCCATACGGAGCCACCCTCGTCTCGCTCCAGAACTCCTGGAGGAAACGTCAAATCAAATCATTTGACCATTAAAGTTAATTTATTAAGAAAAGTTCAACTGAGACACACTTTTGCTATAATATCGAGCAAACAAACAATTGTTTTTAAGTGTTAGTCTTGTTAAATTCTTGTTCAAGTCCTCCCGTGTGCTCTCCTGCGACTGCCAATAGATTTTTGGCACAACACCGGCCCACGTTTCCAGGTGGTCGGCGGTGACGCGTGATAGATGCGACTTATACAGCGGAAACTACGGTACCTCCCCCCCCCCCCCCTAGTCGAATGGTGCACTTTTAAAGTTTCAACATTTGATATGTTCCTCTGTAAATGAAATGCATTATGGGTTTTGATGATTAGTAAATTATTGCATTCAGTTTTTATTCACATTTTACACAACGTCCCAACCTCTCTGGAAGCTCTTTTCCAGGTGAAAAACTCTTATTTGCATAAACTTTACACGCGTTTCCCTCATCCGTCCACATTTTTGTCACGTCTGACGTTTTTGTTCATTTTTACGTTAGGACGTTGTAGAAAATGGGTAACCTGAAGAAACTTATGCACATCCAGGAGGGCAGAGCATGGGTGATATTTGCATGCCTTTGGAACACGAGCACTTTAGTGCATGTACATAAAGCTGTAGTCACCTGTGCTCGCTCGCTGTGACGACGAAGGACGCGTTGCAGACGGAGCTCCTGAGCCGTTTGTTTTGTTGTCTGCATCGACTAAACTGTCCGTGAATTATTGTACCCGTCTTCGTTGTTGATGCACAACTTTGTTTTTGACGTGAAGGAATGGACGTGGAAACAAACATACGAATGTTTTAATGGAACATCTATGTCCAAGAAGTCTGCTAATCTCTAGTCTTAAATACTAAATGGTAATAAAGATGAATGTGTATTTTTAAGATGCTCTCGTGTTTTGATGTGCGTGTCCAAGGTTTGGATTAGGCCAACGATGGATGGTGTGTACTCCTGAGCTCTGTGTGTGTGGATTACAGGATTACAGCGGGTTATAGAGCAGAGGGCAGACGAACACAGACCACGAGTAAGATTATTTTATCCTCAAATCCTCATTACGGGCGTACACGAGCCACCTTACTCGGGTTCACCGGCGTCCCACGCGAGATGAAGATCATAAAAACCATTTTTATTGAAAGTGTGTGTGAAGGAATTATTTTGCAGCTGAGGTGAATCACGAAATGCAGCACGAGCTGCAAAACTGGATCCTGCAGACGTTTATCTTTAATGAAACGCTAAAAAAAATGCCTACAGAAATGAGTTAAAAGGCTGTTTAGTATAATTACAGTAGTCCCTCGCTATTTTGTGGTTCGTTTTTTTGCAGACTCGCTCTATCGCGGTTTTTCAAAAATAAAGAGTGGACACGACACACGGCTGATTGATGGATGAGCCGCACGATCGGCATGGATTCTTTAAATTTAAAATAACTTGTTTTAAATTATTTAGAATGGATCTTAATTTTTACGTCAAAACTCGTAAAAAAATGAAAAGTCTGACTTGAGGTCTCGATCGCCTTCCTTCAAACATTTAAATAAAATCATTTTATGTCAAGAAATGACAGAGTTGTAGCTGTTTTGGTCAAATCTTGAAAATAAGGTTAAGCCTGATCTGTTTGTGCTTTTAGCGTGAGCTGGGTACGACTCTCTGCTACTACCAGATCACATCGTTTTAAATCAGTATCTGCAAAATTCAGTCAATTATAGGGTTTTGCGTGCAATTGCCAATTTAAAAAAAACAAAAAGCTAAATGAAAACAAGTAAAGAAATGGCACTGACGTGATTAAAATTCTTAGATTATTTGAAAATGTTTAGAAAGACTAAAACATTCAGCAAATTATTGTCAATGTTGACGAGTGCACAAAATAATTCTGCTCAAACGTGAACTAACATCATTTTTTGTTAAATAACTGTTCAAAACAGATAAATTGATCAAGAGATAGATAAATATTTGTAAATGTTCTTGTTTTAATATTATTGATTTGATGCAAACAAACTGTGATGCAGCCACTCTTTTTTTGTTTTAGCAAAAGTCGGCGTTTTTAAAACAGGAAACAAACTTCTGTGTTCCTTCGTGTTTGAAAGAGCTCAATATAAACTATAGGGATGCACGATGTTATCGGCATCGTATCGTATCGGCCATTATTAGCAATAAAGTTAAATATCGGACATTCCATCAAAATAACTTACCGATATAAAAGGCGTCTCTTTTAAATTAATTTTTAATTTAAGAAAGTGTCAAGTAAGTCTCTGTAAGTAGGTTTAGGGAAAAATATATCGTATCGGTTATCGGCCAAATAAGTTTTAACGTATCAGAAATCGGCCAAAACTCCAGTATCGTGCATCCCTAATATAAACCGCAGCAGTACGACAGTTTAGTTTTTTATTTAGTTTGGTTTTCTGTACTGCAGCCAGTGCTGGTTTCTTTGTTTTATCTTGCTGAAATCAGCAACGCCTTCCCTGAAAAGACGTTCATTGTAAATCTGACTATTTCAAAAACAAACGGCTGAACTAACTCTTGAAACTGAACAAAGAAGAAGAGAAAAAAAACAATTTTTAAGATGCATTTTTTTTTAGCTGCCATTTAAAAACGGATGGAAGGAGGAAGAGTGATAACAGGATGAAGAGTGTGACGGAGCTGAGAGCCCTGGATACTTTTCAGCGTTACAGCGATGAAGAATTAATGAGGCCCAGCTGCATGCTGGGAGCTGCTGATGGTTCTGAGTGGGTCAGCAGAGAAAAGAAGAAGATGCTGTGCTTTTACGTCCACCAGAGGAAGCCACCACCGCTGAATAATTTACACCAACTCTGAAGTCACTGCAGCGATCCGAGGACCGGACGCCGCCTTCAAGCAGGAAGGACGAGACTCGTGCTTAAACATTCTCAGCACAAACACAGGAATTACCTGGAGTTTTTATTTTCCAGTACGTCTTGGAGAGGCCGGGGGAACTGCAGGGGCTGCTGGGTAGTCGTGGAACAGAACGGGTGTACTTTTTTAGTGTTGCGGTTGTAAACTGTACAAAAGTGACATAATGAATCAAATGTTGCACCTGACGTGTAAAAGAGGGAAACGATTCCTGTCAGAGGGATTAAAAAATGTGAAAATGGAAACAAGGAAGTGACGTAATTAGAGCGCGACTCTTCCGTGTTTTCAGCTAGTTGCTTTAAAACGACTGAATACATTATAATACATGTATATATAATACAATATATATACTTGTATACAATGCATGAGAGGATTTTCACACTATAGAGATGATAAAACCTAAAAGTCCTACAGCCGGTATACAGTTGTCCCTCACTACTTCGCGGTTTGACTATCGCGGACTTGCTCTATCACGTTTTGTGGACGTACAGTCCACGTACTGAACAAAAAAAAAGTGCAAGACACACGTGGACTGTACAGTAATGCTGTATCACTGTACTCGTTGTTGTGGAAAAGTTGACAAAAATAAAATGCTTCAGACAGGCGCTGCGATTTTGTAGTTTTCTCTCAGAGTAAGCCTCCACTGTATTCCCACTCATAATGACCACATTTCCCAGAAGGCAACAGAGCCCCGCCCAGAAGCCCCGTTTCCTTCTGCTGACAAAAACAGAGGTAAAGTTTTGATCTGCTCGGCACCCAGCGGATGCAGAGAATCCACACTGAACCGGACAAGAACAGGAGCAGAACCAGACTTTCAGACCCATCGGTGAATCTTGAAGCTGGTAGCCGGCCCACAAGGACCTCAGAGCAGGACACGCGCCGTCGAAGGTCCAGAGCTCAGCAGGACCT